TATATTAACAAAGATTTGTATTTGTAGTTGCTTTGTTAGGTGCCATGACTATAACTAATTAAAGTAGACATGACCCCTATTCTCTAAAACAGTAGTTCTCAACCTTCCTAATGCCATGACCCTTTAATACTGTTCCGCATGTTGTGATGACCCCCAACCATAAAATTATTTTTGTTGGTACTTCATTACTGCAATTTTGCTACTGTTATGAATCAGGCGACCCCTATGAAAGAGTCATTCAACCCCCAAAGGGGTCATGGTCCCCAGGTTGAGAACAGTTGTTCTAGAATTTAGTGTGAAGAAAATAATAATTGCTGGTGCAATGACTGCTACAGAGAGGAGGTATAGGATGCCATGGCAGGGAGGTCCACTCAGGGGAAGTGATGGAAAGTTGAGTCCTGAAGGATAGAGGCAGGTGAGGTGAAGAATGACTAGTATGAAGGTTGGGGTGTAAGAGAGTAACACTTAAACAACTTGGACTCTTCTAGTATGGCTGAAACATAGAATAAAGAGTCTAGAGAGGTACTTGTGGGCTAAGTCATGGAAGGGAAGCTTTGTACATTTAAAACGGGTTCTTTTCCCAAGATGATTTGAATTTACTAAGAAAAGTTGAAGGGCAATAACCTTTAACAACTTCAAATCTCATAGATTGTGTTTGTGTGTGATAGTTAAGGCAACTAGAAGACAGAAAGAACTTTTGCCTAAACTACATCTATTTGTAGAATATGCCTAGTAGCTGCAGCAGCTTTACAGCAGTTTGCTTCTTTTATTGGTGATTATTGATGCAATGAGAGGAACTATAGCTATTAACCCTAGATTAATAGTTTTAAGGACAGGTCTGTTGCTTTATCTCCCTAACGGCCCAACTCAGCTTGTACGAAAGCTTCTCTTTTCCATTAGCAAGGGAGCATTCAAGATAACTAAAAAGGCAATATCCACAAAATCAGTGAAAAACCTTCTGCAACTGTGAGCTTGGAAATTCTCCCTGAATCAAGGAAAATATTCTGAAAATATTTTATGTTATACAAACTCAGTGAGATAATTTTCACTGCCAAAAAATTGAATGTTTTTATCAAAACAAAACAAACAAACTCAAGGTTATTTTGAGAATCATTGAGACTTAAATTTGACAAGTAAATAAAATTGCTAAGTACTTATTTGTTTGATGTAATTGGAAGTATTTCTTTTTTATGATCCAAGCATGCTTAAATTTCTAGGATCCAGTTCAGCTAAAGACAGGAAATTCTTTTCACTTGCAGTTGAGCTTTCAGGGCCCACACTGGGACAAAATGTTTTCAACATGCAGTAATGGGTATTTTCTTTCTTTTTTTTAGTAATGGTTTCTTAATAGTAATTTTCACTATCTTGTTTTTAATGAGTAAATATTAAATTATTTTTTTATATTCACATGCATTTAGGAGGGTAACTTAAGAAAGTTTGCTACTAGGATTCCAGTTCATTTACCAAACAAAGTTTATTTAAATGTGTTTCTTCAGTAAGTAAATGGGTGCAGACAAGTTTCTCAATAATAAATTTGTTTCAGTCTCATTTGGGTGCCTTTAAAAAAAAGGCCAGTTAAAGCAGTGACTGGTGAGGGAATCTGCTAGGCTAGTAGTTTAAGGCAGAGAAGTCAGCATAGAAGTTATGGTAACTCTTTGCTCTGTTAAGCTTCACAACAAATTCACAATAATTTATTTTTTAAAAGCATTAAACCTTTATTAAACAAAAGTATCAAAATATACTCCCTGGTGGTGTAGAGGGTTATGTGTTGGGCTGCTAACTGAAAGGTCAGTGGTTCAAAACCACTAGTCATTCTACTAAAGAAAGGTGAAGGTTTCTGCCCCTGTGTAGATTTATAGCCTTGGAAAGCCCAAAGGGCGATTTTACTGTCTTAGAATCGACTTGATGGCAAGAGTTAGGTTTGTTTTTGTTTCTTTTTTATGACTCTATTGTTTCACAGATATCCTCCCCATATATACTTATACATTTCTCAAGACTGTGTTTCCATCTCTCTAATAAATCCCCAAGGAATTCTGCACTTTGGATTTACACCACACCAAACAGATTTTGTATTCTTGAGGGGCTCAAATAGTGTTCATTTGAAATATCCTTTGAGTTTGGGGAACAAAATGTCATCTGAAAGGGCAAAGTCATGGCTATAGGATAGATGTGACAGGGTTTCCTAATGAAATTCTTGCAGGACAGTCCTTGCTACCCTCTTAAGACAGCAGTTCTCAACCTGTGGGTTGCGACCCCTTTGGGGGTCGAAAGGCCCTTTCACAGGGCTTACCAGATTCATCACAGTAGCAAAATGACAGTGATGAAGTATCAACGAAAATAATTTTATGCTTGGAGGTCACCACAACATGAGGAACTGTATAAAAGGGTTGTGGCATTAGGAAGGTAGAGAACCGCTGCTCTAAGAGCTTATGCATTGTTGTGATGAAAAAAAAATTTCCTCAGTGCCACTTTCCTGGGCTCAAACATAAGAAAAGTTGTGAGGATGACACAAGTCTGGGAAGTGTCTTGTTCTGTTGTACATAGGGTTGCTATGAGTCGAAACCATCTAGAAGGCACCTAACAAAAACAACACCTTTCAGGTCTTTGCTTACAATTTCCTTAAAACTTCGTCCTAATAAGACCCTGTAATTATTCTGTGTCTGTTCACCTTATATCCTTATTTATTGTGTAGCTGAGAAGTGAGCCACAGGTATGAGTTTCATTCCAGGCTTGAAGGGTGACTAAAGATCTCAGAGATTCCATTAATCTCTTTCTGATAGTAAGCCTAGTTTTATTTTTTTCTTATGTTGAGTTTTGTTCCACATTTTTCTTCTGCTCCAAGAGTAGTTGGTTGTGGTAGCTGGACATCATCTAGTTCTTCTTGTCTCAGCGTTGTGGAGTCTGAGGTTCACTTTGTCCATGAGTACGTTGGACTAATTGTTTCTTGTGTGTTTGATTTTCTTCACTCCTTTTTCCTCCAGATGAAGAGAGACCAAGAGTTAAACCTTAAATAGCTGCTCACAAGCTCTTAAAAGAGCCTAGGTCATAGGTTCCCAAACTTATTTGGCCTACTGTCCTCTTTTTAGGGGAAAAACAAAAATCCAATTACTCAACATTCCACTGGCAACTAAAACATTTTGTACTACAGCCCATAATCCAGGATAAAGAATAGATATCTGCTTTTACATCCTCCTGTATCATTCCAGCATCCCCCAATGGGGTAGGATTGTCTACTTTGGGAAACACCGCCCTATTTAGGTGAGTTGCTACTCACCTAAAGAGAATGTAAAACATTTTCTTTGTGAACTGTACAGTAAAACTTTTTCTATATCCTGCTGTGTATGAAGGTTGTTAAAAGCTGAGTAGCAAAGCCCAAACTTGACTGTGGAAGAAAAAGGCATTATTGGCCTGCTCAGATATAAACTCTTTGGGGATGTTAGTAGGCAAACGAATCCTCTTAGAGCTAACTAGGGCTTGTCACAGAATATTTGTATGTGTGTAAAATGGACCAGTTTCTTACAGGATATCCCTAGCAAGAATATGGTCAGGGAAAGTGTGTTGCTTGTGTTTTTCTTCTTCTAAGCTCAGCATGGTCAATCTCAAGCTCTCAGGAATAGGTCAAAGCACAATATTTCATTAGATAAAACCAGAGACCTTATTTGGTCCAACAAGCAAGTCATGGAAAGGAAATAGAAGCTTCATTAGCACATGGCCTAAGTAAATCTTGTACAAAAATTAATCTGGAGAAAGTTTTAGCATTGATAGTATT